GTGATATCATTGGGGTGCTAAAGTGTTGATGATAGCCCGCAGGTGAGGGGAGCGTGGGAGCTCGGAAGTGAGAGTCGGTATCCTCCCAGCCTAGCCGCAGATTTAGTAACCAAGCATAGGATTAGTCAATGTTATTTTTGTCTGGTCCAAAGGGTAAAGAATATGTATGCTCATATTTGACACAATATAATTTGAACTGATTCAATTTATCCATTCACTTAAATTTCTTGACAAGGAGAATGATGCTTTCTTATATATTGAACTTCACATTAGAAACTTTATTAGTAGAATTAGTTAATTAAGAGTTTATTAAAATTACATTTTTATTTCAATTGTCTATTAGTGACAAATATGCAAATTGAACTATATTGTTGTGATTAAGTATTGATTTTTTAAATCTTAGTTCGTAGCCTCTAATATTACTCCCTGTGGGATCAATATCGAGGACTCCATTAGAGCCATGTATTACTTGAGCGATACATATACTTGCGTTGATAAGTGTGACTTTGCAATTATTGAATATTTTATACACTTTATCAATCTATAACCATTGTCAAGTTTTTGGCGCTGTTGCCGCTGATTTAAATCTTTTAGCAGCAGATTCTTGTACTTTTAAGCATATATAAAGTCACTGTCAAAGATCTATTTTTAATGCCTAAAATATCACTTAGAAAATAACAATTATAGAAAATCAGAATGCATGATTTAGAATTCATAGCAATAACCTTCGGCTATGTTACCTAAATAAGAAAATCAAAATTGTTTTTTAATAAGAAAATAGTAAAATAGTCATCCTTTCTAAAAGCTAAAAATATCAACTTTGGCAATTAGAAATTGAATGATATGTTTCAATAAAAACTTCTCTATTCAAAGTACATAAGAACACCCTTATGACAATAATGAAGAGAAATAGAGAGAGCAAGAACCCTTGCCTCAAGCCATTCAAGGAGATAAATTTGCCATGTATTTCACTATTCCAAACTATTGAGAACATAACTATTGAATACAAGCAACAATCTACTTGATAAAATATTAAGGAAAGCCTTTCTAAGATATGTGAGATAGAATTGAATTCCTATTAAAAATATCAAAAGCCTTTTTAAGATCCAGCATAGCATAGAATAGATTACTTTCCCTTTTAGATTTGATTTTATGCATGATCTCATGGGCATGCATAAAATTATTTGATATGTTTGTTTATGAAAGTTGATGGGTATGATGGATGATAAAAGAATTAATTACTTTGAGTTGTTTGCATTGATTTTCTCAATCACTATGTACATAGTATTAAAAAGCATGATAGACTAGTTGTTTGCAATATAATTGAAATATTATTTTTTTTTGGAAATGTGGGTGATAAAACCATGATTTACCTAAAGAAAATTTTGTATATGAAAAAGAAGTGATGGACAGGCAAGAGAACTTGTCTCCGAAAGATATTCAATTATTAAAAGAAAATTTAGTTATAAACCCACTCAGGCTAGGAGTTTTCTCAGTGTTGATGCTTCAAAGAGAATCAAGAACAACATTACTAGTCACTCGGTTAATCAAATCAATAATAAGACTAAGGAGAGATAGCTCTTCTTGGAATATTATCCAGAATGATAAAATTAACAGACCCATAAGGGGTGGATATACCTTTGATATAATTATAATTGATTGTTTTCTTTACAGTGTTCTATAATAATTTCAAATCATCCTCTCCTTTTCACATCAAAGAAACTTGTGCCAAATGATTTACTTTCCCATGGGCATTCAATCATATAAGTTAATTGATATTTTCTTGAATAGATTTGGCCACCGAGTTTAAAAATGGTTTTAAGCAGTTCTCTTCAATAAGATTGATACGTTCCCCAAAAAATTATCTAATTCAAGCTCGAATCTCGATGCACTTTGAGGTCAAGCGCTCCAAAGTTTTTATTTCTATACTTCAATTCAAATAAAGTGTCTTGAAAAATGAGCCGCTGACATCAAACATATTTTGATCCAAGTCCAAATGAACTCAAATCATGCACTTAAAATTTAGTAAAAAGCTTGAGATATATTTTGGGGACAAAATGTTCTCCAAATCTAATAAGTTTATATAGTCAAATTGAGTGTACGAGACAAATCAAAGGAGCCCTATATCACTTAGTTTTGTCACTATTAAGCACTTAAATATTAACAAAATATCATCCAATCAATCAAAGAAATCACTCTAAGTCATCAGATTGAGAGATTCAGATTTACGCGGTATGAAGGATATCACGCACAAAATCTAAAAATAGACACTCACCCTCTTCATTAAGCATGAAAATGGAGAAGGGCTGAATGAGCTCCAATCTCAAGAGTTCATGGCTCTACCACTGTCGTCGGCCAATGCCACCATTGACACACCACCACATAGGATCACCACTATTGTCAAACCATCGACCATCATCTTTATAAGAAATTTTTATCATAAAGTGGTCAATTGAACCGTGAGGGTTGAGACGGAAATAAATAGTGTTAGTATGTCTTGATATATTCATATTTGCATTGAGGTCATGCTACTCAGTATCGATCAACAATTATAAGCTTGTCCAAATGATTAAACCGCGGGTGCATAAATATGTAGTGTTTCAAATTGTGAAAGTGTGACTGACTCAATAAATATTGTGTGATTTATGATTTATTTAATAATACATGTTCCTTGAATAGCTGTAATAATTATAAAGCTGATAAATTTGACGAACCCCCAATTTCAAAATAGAATGCATGTAGCCATCTTTATGTGTCATCAATAATAATCTTGTTGTATTATCTAAAAATTTAGATATATTTATTAAATAATTTCAATAATTTCATTATATAAAGAGGTAACATGTAAAATAAATCTAAGACACATGCCAAAGGATTAGCCCCATTATCATATAAAAAGTAAATCCTTTAGCTAACTTGAGTTCTAAAATTTTTGCAAAGCGTCCTCTGCGCTGATTGTGACATCCAATTTTAGCCATTTAAGTCCAACCAACATGCTTTGACAACCAATGTAAGACTTAATTTCAAGGATATTAATTTTCGATTCGATAGTTGGTAATTAATTTGGAACTAATGATTGGGAGTATAGAACATTAAATTGAAGTGATTCGACTAAAATCTATGCAAGAGAAATGTTGTGCAAAAATATTTTTTTTGAAATGCTACTTCTATTTCATTTTTTCAAAAACAAGATGAGTTGTTTATACTTTTAAAAAATAAGATAGTTTGTACGCTTCTTAAAGGAAGTTGTTTAAGTTTTCACCCATATCTGAGGGAAATTATTAGGCGTGAAATCCACATATATACGGATATCAGTACAACATGATTGTATTAATTGTACTCATAAATACAATCATGTTGGATACTAAAGTCTGCATGCATACATTGTCCACAAACCAATTGATGAATTAAAAATCCAGAAACTAAATCTATACATGTTAAAAAAGACATCATTTTTACACACAACTTCAATCATCATAATCATAATATGCATTATTAATTATTAATTATTTTAAATATATAAAATGCCTAATATCATAATACTTTTATTTATAAATTTAATGATAAATAAATAGCCAAAGTTGAAAACCCGATTTATAAAGTATCTATGCTTAATTACATTTATTTAATTATAATTATGTCATTTTATGTTTTTTTTTTTTGCAAGCATTAAATGCATAATGAAAACAAAGAAATCTCGCTTCAAAAAATAACATAAAAAGTCAAAATAAAATTAAAAAATAAAAAAAAAAAAAAAAAAAAAAAAAAAAAAAAAAAAAATGATCGGTAGATATCCTAATCAAAATCTGGTTATCAACAATCATTGGATGGAAGTAAAATTGAAATAAATATAAATATAATAAAAATATATATTAAACTAACCCCAAAAGAAATCTAACAAATTGATTTAAAAGAATGGAAGAGCCAATTTCTTTTCAATTGAAAAAAAAAATAAAAATCCTAGAGGAGCCTCAAAGAAGAGATGATCAAAAAGAGAAGCCTTCCTCTTGAAAGCTTATAAAATGAATAGAAGACTAATTACATGAGGCTTTCAGTTGTGCAGAGCAACAAGAGAATAATGGAGTTCACTCATGGAGTTTACACACGCAGGCCTACAGCAATAATTGACTCTAAAGTATATGACAGGTATGAAATAAAATGATAATAATAATAATAAACAGGATTTTAGGTTGTTTCGACTCTTACTAAAAGGGCAAGAGTCTTACCCGCATTTGGATGAGTTTCCTCTTTTGGTTTTTAGTAAACTAAGCGCCTTCAAGTAAATATTGTAATTTGGATGATCAGCCCCGTATCAGTGGAAATTTGGAAAATTGGCAAGTTCGCAGAATTGTAAAGGCCAGCAATAACGAGCTGAAATAAAGACATTTTTAGGTATTTTAAATAAGTATTAAATTTGAAATAACTGAATGAAAAATTAAAGACCAATATTAAGAAAATTCATCTAATGAAATAATCTGAAATTGGATTTCCCTCAGCACAGACCGTGAGCTGAAATCCAAATAGGAGATCATTTATTCACAAAAAAAAGAGAGAAATTTACATGCTAACAAACAATTCTTATGTATTTATAAATGTAACGCCAAAACTTTCACATTAATATTTATAACACTTTGGTGCAATAAACCTATACGAAAAGGTATATTTCACTTCAAAGAAGTACAACAACAACAACAACAAAACCTTTATCCCACTAAGTGGGGTCGGCTAAATGAATCCTTTTTCTCCATGGCGTCCTATTTAGTGGCATATCTTCATTTAATTCTAACAAATTAAGATTATTTTTTATACAATATGCACAAGTCTTCCTAGGTCTACCGTTGCCTTATGTAACATAAATTGAATCTTAAATTGAATCTAAAACATCTCCTCTTCTAATCGGATCATCAGATCGTCGACGTTTAATGAGATCAAACCATCAAAGAAGACTCTCTCTAATTTTGTCCATCACTAAAGCTACACCAACCTTATCATGGATATATTCATTTCACATTTTGTCTCTAAGAGTAAAGCCACTGATCCACTTAATCATTCTCATCTCAGCAACACTTAGTTTTATGCTTCTCTTCAACATTCAACGTCATAGAGCATTGCAGGTCTCACCACCATCTTATAAAATTTTTCTTTCAACCTAACTGGTACTTTTCTATCAAACAATAGGCCCGAAGCATACCTCCACTTCAACCAACCAACTTGAATTCTACTAATAACACCCTCATCAATATCACTAACCCTTTGAATAATAGACCCGAGATATCTAAAGCGTTCACACCTTTTAATAATTTGATCACACAGCTACTACTACTAAAATTACATTCAATGTATTTAGTTTTAGTTCTACTCAAATGACGGCCATCAGGCTCGAAGGTAGACCTGCATAATTCAAGTTTTTCCTGGATTTTTCTCTCGTCTTATCCACAAGAAGGATATCATTAGCAAAAAACATACACCAAGGTAAATCCTCCTATAATTGTCCAACAAGAACATCCATAACTAAAGCAAAAAAGAAATGAGCTTAAAGCCGATCCTTGATGTAAACCGACAGAAATAGGAAAATATTTGGTCAATCCTCCTTATGTTCGAACACCAGTAACAGCTTTTGTATACATACATATCTTTAATGACTTGAATATAAGTCATAACAACACCCTCCTCATTATCTCTGAACTTCTCCATCAAACCTTTCAATAAATATATAGCCTCCATGGTAGACCTGCCCGACATAAATCCAAATTGATTATGAGAAATCTTTGTAATACGTCTTAAAATATGTTCAGTTACCCTCTCCCATAACTTTAAAGTATGACATCAACTTAATTCCTCTAAAATTTGCGCACTCTTGTGCATCGCCTTTATTCTTAAAAATAGGGATCAAAATACTCCTCTATCCAAGCATCTTTTTAGTTTTTAAAAAAATATTAAAGAGTTTAGTAAGTCTTGAAACTCCCAAGTCTCCTAAACATTTCCACCCTTCAATTGGGATATCATCAGATCCTACAGACTTTCCACCATTTGTTTTCTTTAAAGCCTCCTCAACTTCCTTTTTGCTAATCCGAAGGTAAAGATAAAACATTATTATTATTAATGATATTAAGATTCATAAGATTGATCGTATTTTCTAAAATTTCATTTAAAAGTTTATCAAAATAACTCGCCCACCTATTTTTGATATCTTTTTTTAAGAAAAACACTTTTTTATTTTCATCTTTAATGCACTTTACTTGAGTTAAATCTTAACTTTTCTTTTCTCTTTGTTTAGCTAGTTCATACATATATTTTTCACCATTCTTAGCATCTAGTCTATTATAAAGATCAATAAAAACTGAATTTTTAGCGTCACAAATTGTTTTCTTCAACTCTCTACGGGTCGTTTGATATTTTTCCCAGTTCTCAAAGCTTTTACATTTAAACCAATTTTTATAAGATAACTTTTTATATTTTATCTTTTCTTGCAGATTATTATCCCACCACAAACTATTTTTCATTTATAGAAACTTTTTCTTTTGATTCTCCTAGTATAACTTTTCCACACTTCAATTAGGATGTCATTAGATCCTACAGACTTTCCACCATTTGTTTTTTTTGTAAAATTTCCTCAACTTCTTTTTTTGCTAATGCGGTGATAAAAATGAAATATTTTATCATTAACGATATTAAGATTACTAAGATCGATCGTATATTCTGAAATTTCATTAAAAAGTTTATCAAAATAACTCACCCATCTATTTTTGATATTTTTTCTAACAAAAACACTTTTTGAATTTCATCTTTAATACACTTTATTTGAATTGATTCTTAACTTTTCTTTTCTCTTTGTTTAGCTAGTTCATACATATTTTTTTCATCATTCTTAGTATCTAATATATTATAAAGATCAATATAAGCAGAATTCTTAACATCACAAATTGTTTTCTTAAAATCCATACAGGTCGTTTGATATTTCTTTCAATTCTCTAAGCTTTTAAATTTAAATCAATTTTTACAACATAACTTCTTATATTTTATCTTTTTTTGCATATTATTACTCTACCACCAACTAATTTTTATTTATAGAGATTTTTTCTTTTGATTCTCAAAGTATAACTTTTATCTCTTGTTTAATAGCATTTGTTACTTTATCCCACATAGAATTTGTCTCTTCATGAATATCATAAATTTTGAAATCTAGAATGTTACTCATAAAAATAATTTTATTTGTGTTTTTTAGGTATCCCGTCTAATTCTATGACAATGATTCCTAATATTCTTTATTTTACAACTCTTCATCTTAAAATCTAGAATTAATAATCGTTGTTGAATACTTAAATTCACACTTAGAATGAATTTACAATCTTTTACATTCTCAATTATCTCTTCTTCTCATAAGAAAACAATCAATGTGTGTTTTATTAGATACATTCTTATAAGTAATAATATGCTCATCTCTTTTTTTGAATAAAGTCTTAGCAATAACAAAATCATACGCTAAAGCAAAATCTAATATAGCTCTACCTTATTCATTAATCACTCCAAAACCGTAGCCACCATAAATATTTCTAAAATCCTCTACACTCTACCGAGATGTCCATTTAAATCTCCAATAAAAATTCTTTCTTCAAGAAATATAATTTGTATTAGTCTTCTAAGTTATCTCAGAATTTATCTATCTTAAGTACTATAATTTTATCTCCAATTCTATTAATTTTTCATACATTATCTTTCAAACTCTTATCTATAATTACACCTATACCATTTCTAGTGCGACCCTTACCTGAATACTAAAGTTTAAGACCTAAGTTATCAATTTAGCCTTTTCTTCAACCCATTTAGTTTGTTGAACACATAAGATATTTATCTTTCTATGAATCATAATATTAACTAATTTCATTAATTTACTAGTGAGAGTACCTATATTTGAAGATTATATCCTAACAATAATTTCATGGACTAACTCTTTATCTGCATCAGTCTGTAATGTGGGACCCCTTTGCTTATTTGACAGTGTTATATCCTTGCACACTTTTCACTGTACTTAGTCCATAAAGCGCATCTCTGCCAGGGGACGTCTTGACACTTCCAAAATGATTAAAAGAATGCATGTTATGATTTGTTTCAAGTTTTATGCTAGCTATCAACTACATACCTAATACTTTAACCAAATAATTGAAAATAATATTTTTTATGGGATATTAAAGATTAAAATAGTACGCATGTCAATATTAAAGTTTGGGTGTTCTATTCGTGAATATAAAAGAATTGTGGTAATATATAAAGAATGGTCAGAGGCTATGATACGAGCCATCAGCTATGCTCATATGCCTAACCACTCGATCTGGCGCTGCAAGGCAGATGCACTCCAGTAGGCTAAAACCCATGACCCTAGGGGAGTTAGAACTGATTTCGCAATGCCAACCAAAGAGTCGCAACAAGCGATTACGTCGCTCGCCGTGACTCTTAGGCAATGCAGCCTAGCGTAAGTTCCCTGTGGTTGCAATGTGGGATCAAGTGGTTAGACACATGAGGGTGGTTGGAGACTCGTATCAACAGGGGGCTCGTATTCAGCTTGTTTCCTCCTGTTGACTGAATTTGGTCGGAAAATTTTTGTATGGTCATCCCAAAATGGAGTTGATTAGTAAAGAATTGAACTTATGCATCTTGTTGGGGAGTGGAAAATTGGACTATTAGATGAAAGACACATTCTTATACAACTAAATAATGAAAAGGATTACAAGCGCTTATTTGCTAGAAGAATAATATGGATTGATAACAGAGCAATGAAGATTCTAAAATGATCTGTGAATTTTGACCCACAGATGGAACCATTAATCATTTCGGTTTAGATTCGTCTCTCCGGTCTGAAATTTTATTATTTTACTAAAAAAGTATTGTACTCTATTGCCTCAGTTTATGGTAAACCACTCAAAACGGACATTCCTATTTTTAATATTTCCCACCCATCTGAAGCCAGAATATTTGTTGAAAGAGATCTCTTCATTCTCTTCTGAGAAAATTTGGCTGGGCACACAATATCATAGATATTGACAAAAGGTGGTGATTGAGTTTTTTTCTTCGTATTGTTCGAACTGTAGTATGTTCGGTCATTCCAGTTCTCAATGCCACCATCTACACCCTCAACTCAGACCAAAAAAAACACAGTACTCCGCCAAAGGCAGTGATTTCATCTCCTCCTGATCAGCTTCAAGTTATTGACTATATTGATCATCGAAAGGATACATCTGAACAAGTCACTATTCTCGCAGACAATATGACAATCATTCAGTCCCTTGTTGTATTGTATAAGTTGAGCTTTCTTTCAAGCCCTCTCATACAACCTTTCTTTATCTTTTCCGCTTTAATATATTAGCACTTAGGCTTTTTCAAAATAAAAAAAAAAATACTGTAATGTAAACCTTCTGCTAAGAAACAAACTAGTTGGCAACCTACTAAGAAAATATGATTCAAAGCAAGGGTTTGTATGAGCAACAAATTGTATTCAAAGGGAATTTAAAACGTGGAGAAAATGACGAAAGAATGACCTACATTTTCATCTTGCAATCTTGAGAGAAACAGCTAGTGCTACGAAAAAAAAAAGCCGTTTGAACATGTCTGGCTCGACAACTAACACAAGTTTAAGCGATTTAATAAGCTCGTTTATTTAACAAGCCAACACAAATAATACCAGTTTGATTGTGTCCAGTTCGATGATAGCTTAATTATGTTTTAATAAACAGACATGCGTGCACATGAATGTTTCGTTTGTGCCTATATATCTTTGTCTATATATATATATATATATATATATATATATATACAT